ATGAATACTGCTACACTTCATTCATGTTAAATGCTTTTAAATAAAGAGTCCTTAAATTCAGGTTACCATGTAAGTCACTAGCCAGGTAGTTCACTCCCAGGAGAATGTTTAAACAGTTGACAAAAAGGAAAATCAGTCTTGTTTTAACCATACCTTTATCACTTTAGAAGTGGAGCTTTCCTCTCCCTCTTCATACATTATGCAGTACATTGATTGTATACCTGGACCTGCCCTGTCCTCCATTAGTGAGGTAAACAGACATTAAAAATCATGAAGTCAGGCATTTTATGGGTGAGATACCCAACCCCACGTGTGATAGAATCCATTTAAACATGTCAGTCTGGTGTAGCAGCTGAGGTCAGAGTGCAGGAAGAGACGGCAGGGGCTGCTCATTCCATTAAACACATACCACTTAGCTAATGAGCTACCCTCACTCAGAGAGGACCAGGTGGAGCTCTCTGGCTTTTAGTATGAGCTTTGACTAAACTGAATCTTTCCCTCTCCTTCCTCTGCTACCCCACTCTCCTCACCCACATACTGTACATGCACACACTTGCTTTAACTTGCAAAGTCATTAATGTGATTGGTGCTTTTCCCGCTGTGAAACTTCCCACTGTGAGAAAGGCCTAAAGACTCTGGACGAATTCTTTTCTGCATGAGGCTGGAGCCAATGTAAAATAATTACAGCTGTTTTCACAGGCTCCCTAATAGTAAGTTGACTGTGATAAGTAAAATTGGCATTGTCCTATTAAGATTATTTCTAGATTAGATATTATAATCCCATATTATGTCATATTATTGAAAAAGCACAGTGGGCCAGAAGGGATGAATTATAAAATAATGATGAGAGAAGCAGAGGTTGAGATATGCTGACTTGTATCCCCTTTATGAGTGACAATCCACAAACCTTGGCTTGTACACTTCTCATAAAGCAACCAGTTTTGAACTGGTAACAGCATTCACAGCAAACATCATTCAAGGTTATTAAACCCAAATTTTAATGGAAACATGGCAGCATGGTGGAGCGGTGGTTAGCACTGTCGCCTCATAGCAAGAAGGATCCAACTTCGTATTTTTGCTTCTTGTGTGTGTGTGTGTGTGTGTGTGTGTGTGTGTGTGAGATTTGTAGAGTCCCTATAGCGGACTGTGCTCCATATGGAAGACTGTAGCAGAGAACATCAGCTGATCTTCGGCAACTTGAGGCAATCACTCAGTTTGGACCCAGACACTAACACACCAAGTCACACCCTCAAAAACTATATACTATAAGACAAGTTACTTTTGTGTGTATGTGATCTTCTGTGTGTGTTTTTCCACTTGGGGGCAGTGCTTTCTCTGCAGACTGTGACAACAAGGCTGTAGACACAAAGCCCAGAATCACTAAGTATCTCTTCAATATACACATGATGCATTGTGTACCTACATTATGTGTCCGCTTGTCTGTATACTTGTGCTTTTCTGTGACTTCTGTCTGTCTCTTCAGGTTAGAATCAGGTTAAGGGTGGATGTTAGGATAAGAGTTTGGTTTAGGGATTTAGTTGGAATGGTAAAGGTTAGGGTAAGGGGATAGGGAATGCATTATGTCAGCGAGTGTCCTCTCAAAGATAGTTGTAAAAGTGTATGTGTTTGCCTATATAAACCCCTTCCCTCTCCCCAACATCCACCCGACAGTAAAGAGAAGTAGGCCACTTAAAGATAGCTCCCAGCAGCCTCAATACCAGCTCCCAAAATATATCCGCTCATGAGAGTCGTCATCTCTGTGCCTCCTCGTCTTCTTTTGCTCCTTTTCCTTTTGAAAATGAAATGAAAATCAGCCTTTGAATTTGTAAATTGATTGCCTTGGTGACATGTCCTGAGGTGTAGATATAGTGTGTGTGTGTGCGCGTGCGTGCACCTGTAAGTGTTTTTCCTTCAATTGTTCAGTTTTTGAAGGTCTTACGTCTCACTTGGAAGAGTTCAGTGAAGCAAGTTTAGGGCAGGTATATGTGCGCTTTGTCATTTTAAGGATTTGGGGAGTCCATTGTCACCCACGACCTCCCCAGTGCTCTGACTTACTGCAGAAATGTGTACTTAGAAAGCTATGCAGGAAAAGTAAATTAGCAGCCCACCAGGACTGAATGGATGTAACTGGAACAAAAGCATAAAATATCATATTGATACAGACAAAGAAATTGCATTTTAAGTGGATTGGCCTGTCTCTTTCAAAAATGGGGTCTTCCTGGGTCCTCCTCCAGGGAGTCCACTTTTATTCAGAAAGTGATGTGTGGTCAGGAGGTCATCTTTTGTCTGGTTTGGGTGAGGTGAGGTTGGCTACAGTGCCATGGACTGAAAAGCTCTTTTACTAATAATAGAAACTGTGATCACAGGAACATCAAGTTACTTGGAGATCATTATTTCCTCACACAACTCTCTTTTTTTTTTCTTGTCCATGTCCATGTAGTGCAGACAATGATAACAAACGTCACAATGACTACTTTTCTCCATTTAAACGAATGGCTGAACGACTGATTACAAGATTGAAGACACCTGTGATATTAATTTAAGACAATAGTTTGCTTGAAATATCACTGCAGTCCATTTATCTCCACTTCTGATATTTTGGTCCCGCCCATTTTAGAACATCTTTGTAGAATAAACCAGAATAAAAGCTCCTTCCACAGTGTCTTTGTTCTATTCTGTGGTAAACCAAAAGCATGGTAAGTATGCATAATTCAAGGAAGAACAGCACATTGTTTCAGTGAGATGTGAGGGTACCAAAACCTTTCAGTCATGTCTGTAATGAGACAAACAATAGCTGAAGGTTTGTATTTGTGACAGTTAATAAGGGGCGTACTACATCGTGCACTGTCTGTAGGTGTTGGCATTGGATGTAAATCTGACTTATTGAGACATCATGAATCAGAAACATCATGGACAGTTCAACCATTATATCCTGACACTCGTCACTGTTACTCTGGTGATACTGTATGTTCAGGCTGATGCAACTTGCTGCCGCGGCTCCCTCCACCACCCCCTCCTCCTCTTTATGTGCTGAGGTGTTTCAGTGTGGTTTATTGGGGAATTCATTCCAGAAGAATCCTTGTGGTTTCTTTAGTGTTTTTAGATACGGTTGTCTTACTTGCAGTTTCTGTCTTGATATACTTCAGTCCCCTTCCCCCACATTCCATGACCTCGATAAAACCAGTCATGGAAAATAAGCGAATAAAGTCAAGTGTGCCCTCTCATACTAGCTCAATATTCTTCCTGCTGTCTGGATGTGCAGGCTGAGGGCCAGGGTGTACTTTACCCCCCACTGGCCCACATCCACAGAGAATGAGGACAATAGTTTGGCTCAGAGACATGTGCGCATAATGTTGTCTTTTATGTGGGAAGGTGGAACTGTATGGGGATGAGAGAGAAAGGGGATCTCTGTGTTTTCTTTCTGTCTCAGCCATGTCTCGTGCACGATAGCTTTTAGATACGGCTACGATGATGGTGCTATTACCACAAATTAATTTGCCGCACATTTTACTAAAAGAGGCAAACACCATCCTTTTATGGATGGGTGGCAATTCAGTATTGTAATGTGATGCTATGAGCTTCTATTTTAATCCAATTACAGTACAATAAAATGTATTTTAAAGTTGCCATTGTGATATAAATTTTCTGGAAATCCAGGCAACTAAAGGTTTATAGATAAAATAAGACAGATATCACGAGAGTCTCAGCTCTGTGAGGCTGTAATCAAGTACAGCGATGCTGGGAGCTATATGCTAACCTCAGCTTGCTAACATGCACACAGTGACAATGCTGTGAATATTATTTGTTCTACAGCTTAAACCACTAAACAAAAGCTCTGTTCTGATGGTGGTACAGTTGATCCTGATGATATGAATGTGTGCTTTCATGGCAATCTATCCAGTACATATATTTTTTTCTTTGATATTTCAGTAAGAAAACAAAAACATTTCCTCTTGTGCCATCACAAGGATAAAGTCAGGGGATCACCAAAATCAGAAAGATTCATCTTTCAGAGTCATCCAGCAGCTGTTGAAATTTGTCAGTTTGGATCAAAGTGGTGGACGAACCGACCTACAAGCTGTCCTCACCATCCCTAGATCCCTGCCGCTAGCATGACTAATAACAAGATAAGCCTGTCTGCTGGTTTATTCTGCGGTCAACAATACACAATTAAATGTGCCAAAGAATGGGAGAGCATTCATATGGAAGCTCGGTATGCAAGTTAAATGATGTTTGTCTATTCTTTGGCCCTAAAGAGGGGGTGTCAGGCCATGCTGTCTTAAATCATCAGAGCCCCCTATTTTCCAGACTTAAATACTTTACAGACGAGACATTTCATCACACTGATGTCACATCACTTACTGGTACAGAAGATTCTGTACCTACTGTAAACATCCTGCACATCTTCCTGACAGTTGAAAGGATGACTAGTCAGTCACATTAACCTCAGGATTTCCCTTCAACCTGCGCAGTGCATTTCCACACACATGCTCACATACATTTGCACCGATATTGAGGTCAGATTGAGATATAGACAGACCCCTCCATAATGGCACACCCTCGGGCTACCTCTCTGTGAGCTGTTCACTCATGTAGAAGCTGACCCATCTGCCCAGAGAGATGGCAGGAAAATAGAGATGGATGGGGACGGGGCCAGAACAAGATGAGACATGCATATATGTCTCAGGGATGCAGGGGCATCCAAAAAGACAGAGGTGGAAATGGGGTTTAGAAAAAATGAGGGAGGATGCCAGAAAGTGAAGAGGAGGGGAGAACAAGGCAGATCTGTGTGGCGTTGCCCTGAGATACAGGATGTCGTAATAAGGCAGTTGGGAGAGAGAGAAAGAGAGATAGAGAGAGGAACTAATTCGTAGGGGGGAAAAAGGGGGAGGAGAGTGTGCTTCGAGAAGAAAGGCATTAATTTTCTTGGTGCTCTGACATGCTGACACCCCTCTGCCTGCATAGAGAGTGGAACGCTCCAGCTTGCTCTGTACGCTGTTGTTGTGCAGAGCTGCAGAAGGCCTGAGAGATCCAGCTAGACAGAGAGAGACGGGAGGGGGAGATAACGTAGACAGAGACAGACACATTGTGGATCGAGAACCTCTGTATTCATTTCATCACCCAGTTCAACCAGCGACACCAGTGAGGAAGGAGACAAAGGAAAGAGGAAGACAAAAAGGTGCTTCAGTGACAACAGGAAAAGAGAAAGAGAGGCAAGGTGAAGGAGGAGAAGGAAGGAAGGAAGGAAAGGGTGGTAGGAAAGGAGGCTGGGGCGTGAGGAGGGGCGCCTGACTGACACTGCCGCTCTGGCTCACACACACACACACCAACATAAGCAGACACACACATGCTCGCTCAGCCAGATTGTGCAGTGCACAGTTGCTGCTCTTTTTTTTATCCTTTGCGGAGCCTTGACCTCCATCCTTTCTTCTCCTCTGAGCAAGAGTACAAGAGCGACAGAGACGGAGGGAAGAGGAGGAGGGAGAGAAACGAGGAGAAGGACGAGGAGGGGAGGCAGTAACCCTCTCCTCTCCTTTACTCGGGGATACAGCAGCGCAAGAGAGGGAATTGAAGATTAAGAAAAAGAGAGAGAAGCAGCTTTCTGTTCTATTTCGCCGTCTCCTGTGGTCCTTTGGCCAGCGAGCGGCTAACAGGCACCGCTCATGTCCGTGAACTCAGAGAAATCCTCGTCCCCTGAAAGGTAACACCTCCTCCTCCTTCCCTCACTCCTTATCATCTCCTTCCAGTATGTCTGTGTGCATGTTTTTCTATCAGTTTTTTGTCTTCTCACATCCCAAACCTCTCTTGACCACCACCCTTCTCAGCAGCTCCAAGTTTTGTGTCTCTTTCTGTTTGTCTGTGTATCATTAGCTGGTTTCTTCTATTGTGTGGGTCACAACAGTAGCTGTAGTAGGGAAACATCGCAGTGGTTCATTGTTGCATGGTGCTGTAATGTTTCAGTCAGCTGGTAAAACAGAGCAGCCATAACTAGATGCACGTAACAGTATATGCAGTCCATACATTTAAACAACATCCCAGAACATAAGCTCTTTCAGACACCTCCTCATAGATACAGATTTGGGCTGCTGCTGCCTTCTGAGGCTGCAACATTTCCGATGACAACAATAACAAGAACGCATTCACATACCCACAGTCTATTTATGGCGGTGGTGCACAGAGCTTATACAGCAAGAGTGTCAACACACGTCAACATCAACAGCCAACCACAGCATCAGCAGTGCATCTCAGCAGCAGTGCAAGACAGCAGCTCGCCACATGACGCACTTCAGTGCACAGCATTGTTGAACAATGGCACCTCTGAATGCTACACAACTTGTACACAACAGCCAGACACATAATTTGACCAGCTGTAAGGGTTCAGTGAATCACAAATAGTGACACATTCAGTTTCCTGTCTTACCATATGGTCTGTAGCTTTTTGAAAATACGTACAAAGACGTGCACACCAGTGTCTTTTTCAGATGGCTTTCACCAAGTATTTCACAGTACATGATGAACACGTACCAAGACTAGCCACGGTTCAGAAGCCATTTCAGACACATCCCACTCATGTTATTCAAAGTGAACATGGTTAGATTTCTTACAGGGTTGCTTAGGTGACACTGATTTAGAAAGTTTCTGTTGCAGTAGTGTCTTACATCCCTGGGAGTTGCTTCAGTTGCTACTCGTTCAGTTAAGTTTTATTGGTTATTATGTTGAAAAAAATGAAAAGCAGACAGGAGAAATGTGAAAACAAAGCCTTTCTATCTCTGTTGTGATGTCTGCCCAAATCACACACTGCATGCAAAGCGCCCCATATCCATTCACATCGATTCAGACCAAGCCCACATTCCTCTTTCAGCATGCGAAAGCTGAAAGAGCTCGATTTGATGGGCGCTGGAGGGTGAGGAGCAGGCAGACTGGATGACTCAGGTAGCCACTGATGCTGTGCCAAGTGCGATCAGGCAGAGCTGCTGCCATCCTCACAGGCTACAGTAGGCTAGGCCCCAGACTGGCACACTCAAGTGCACAGCACAGTGGGCATAAATAGGCAGAAGTAAATGGGCATTACAAATATCAGGCATTGGTACATGGACAGTTGGGCACAGAGGAGATCAGCGTTTTATTGGCAGTTTTGGGTGATCATGAATTTTAATTTGGAGAAAGAGGTGGTGGCATTGGATATAGATAAAACACATGCACTTGAGTACAAATATGGATAATACTGTACAGCATTTACTGCACCTAGATAAGGACAATAGGATTCTTGAGCTCAGAATCATAGACACAAATATCATATGGCAGCACTGGTGCGGTGAGGTTTGTCTATTTCATCACACGGCTAGTTTTCCCCATCCTCTATTGTTTGGGTCACAGTTATGTGACTGTAATTAAGAATAATGCAGCAGTCCCTTGTTGCTTGGCAGGTAGCTCATAGATACTCTACTGCCCGCTTTAAAAACTGCAACAGCTCATATGACCAGAGCAACAGGCCGTCTCAGGTTGACCAGTCATGGAGCAGCTTAACAGTTCTGTTAATGTAGCTAGTCATAACATTTTCTCTTCTATCTATCAGAATTCAGTTATAACTAGCTGATAACGCTGTCAGTTATGAACTTCATGAGTAAACTAGCTGCTAATACCCTTGTGATTAAAGCTGTAATTGATTGTCACAAGCTAGGATCAGAGAGGAATCTGCAGCTTTGTGAGTGTGACATGGACAACTGGGAGGCCTTCTGGACTGGGTGCATGTGCTGTAGATACAGTTTTGCTTTAACAAAAGGAGGAACATGATTATACTTAGTTTTTTTTAAATTTCCAGTTCAGGAAAGATTCATGTGACAAGGAATATGTTAGAAAGATCAAATGAATACACCTTTGTGGTAGTGTGAAGACATTAGCATGCAGAAAGGAATTGTTTGACAATTAATAAAAAAAAAGCCTGATATAAAATGATTCATAATTATTTTGATAACTTCATTAATAAATAATTTAATCCTAAACATTTTGTGCTTTCAGTGTCTCAGAAGTGAGGATTTGCTCATTTTATACTATTGTAAATTGAATGGCTTTGGTTTTTGGACTGTTGGTTGGCAAAAGCAAATCCTAAACAAACCAATCAATTTTAAATCAATGGATAGATTATTCAGTAATGTTTGTTTGTTGTACGTAAAGCAGCAGGAAAGGATTTGGAGGCTGGACATATCTTTTGGTTTTATTAGTCATTTGTATTTGAGTGTGGATCAGACTTCAGAGTTTATACTGGGCCTGCATTTTGGGACAACACCATCTGGACTCCAGGCGCCTCGTGTGTGCAGTATACACACACACACACACACACACACACAGCGCTGTGGTGTGCTTCATGTGGGATGTGTAGTAACATGTTTGTCAACAATAAGGCAGAATGAATTGGATAACTTAAGTGTGTTAAACCAAAAAGATGAACCAGTCAGGCCTGAAAAAAGCAAGAGGCGGCATTGTGACAGATTTCAGTTGGAGTACACGCATTAGAAAGACGATCCTTGTTGTGTAACTTGGCGCTTGAGGCATGGCAGGACAAGGGGTGTGTGCATAAGGATATGTAAGTGTTTGCACCTTCTTGGTGCGTGTGAAAAGCTGAAAGCTCCTCTCTGAGTGGTGACAGCACGTTTGTTTAGGCCATGGGTGGAGGGCTTATGTCCTTTGAAGAGACTTTCTTTAAAGATCAAATAAAATTTGGCTACGTTTGACTAAACAAGCATAGGTCCAGAGTTTACTGGCTTTGTCGCAAAGCTGGAGCCGCTGAGAGACAGGAGTACTGAGAGGAAACCCTGTCTGCCTTACTTTGGTTGCAATGGTTTTGTGTGTTTAAATAAATGTAGCATTTCAATGAGTTGTTGAAAATGCCAAATCCACCTCAGCCTGTGCATGTAGGAGAAGATGACAGGTGGGCTAAAATGTAAGGCTGGAGATTCTTTTCAGAAGCATTTTCTCTTTTCACCCCAATGGCAATGAACAGATTAAATGCATTGACAACAAACAGAAAACAATTTGATGTGCTGAAAAAAATAGTTTTATTTGTCCTGAGCAAAACCATTAGATGGCCTACCTACTGTACGTGTCAACCTGCTTTCTACTTGCACGCACGCTGCCCGTGCACTTAGTTCTTGAGCCAAGAGTCTCCCATAAGGTGCTGCAGTTGCAGGCAGATGTGTTACCGTTTTACAGAAATGACGACTGGAGCCCAAGAAGTAAAACCAGAATTAACATTGGTGTAGCTTTTGAACAATGGCATCAACTGAACAAAAGGGGCTGAAAAGTGACGCCATGGCGGCCGTATTTCTGCTGGACAGGTAATTATTGTTGTTTTGTTTGGGGGGGCGTTGCAGTGCGCGTTGCGTTTTGGAGGAGTGGCTTTGGAGAGAAGTCAGAACGAAAGGGTGGGATTTCTTTGGGTTGGCTGCTTTCTAACTTGAGTTTCTGCTTGCTGGTTTTCCCAGGAACACCAACCCTACATTTTTCATATCCATGATTTGAGCATTCTAGTGTGAGTGTCCATCTGCGCCATGTGAGTGTGACTGGAGGATGCATGATTTTTATTGTTAGCACTGGAACTGCAACTCTTCATGGAAGGAGAAAGGAAGAGGAAGGAGGAGCAAAGAGGAAGAGATAGCTTAAAAAGGTAGGGGGAGAGCATAAGACAGGTGAGAGGGAGGATGATATATAAAATTTATCATCTCATCTCCTCTTTCATCTATTTGACACCATGTTACTCAGGCTACTGGATACATCCAGATACTCCTGTGCAGCCACCTTCCTCACTCTTTTTTCTGTCTTGTTAAGCATGACTAGCAGAAATGAAACCAAATCTCTACATTAGGAACTAACTAACAGTGATGTTTGTTCTCGATTAGCCAACCAATGACTTTTATGACTGTGTGGTTCATAAAAGTAGTAAAAAGAAAGGAAAAAACATACATTGCAGCCCTCAAGAGTCAAGGGCGACATCTTCAGATGCCTCGCTTTGTCCATCCAGCACTCCAGAGCAAAGACATTCACTTGGAGCAGCTGGAACCAGAGAATGTTTGGTATTTTATTACATTTATTAGTTAAAACTATTAGATGTTTATCAAAATTATTGCTGATTAATATGATGTCAACTACACAGTAAATGGAATATCGAGCTGCAGAGTTTAGGTAGTTGATTCACCTGTTTGTCCATCACCTGAAACTTGAGTCAGCAACAACTTTGATAATTAGTTAAATGTTTTGAGTGTTTTCCTTTTCAAGAAGAATGTTGAAATTCTTTGGTTCCAGTTTCTCACATATGATATTTACTGATTTGCTTTGTCTTTGCTTCTTGTAAACTGGAGGCCTTTGAGTTTTGGACTGGGCAGTAACTTTAAATCAGTGGTGGTGGTTAATTTGTGCAAAAGCTGTTATCCAAGCAGTAATCAATGGGAGAAACAGGATTATTTTTGAAAATGGACATTAAGTGATCTGCAGGATCTCTGGTGGTGGGCAGGTTGTGACTAGATAGGGACAAACACAATTAGCTGATTCACTATTAGTTAAACATAATCAAACTGTTTTTTTGATAATCAGTTAATTGTTTGAAGAATTAAGCAAAAGTGACAAATCAATCTCATTTCAGCTTCTCAAGTGTAAGGATGAGCTGTTTTTCCTGGCTTATATTATTCAAAATTGAGTTCCTTAGGT